GACCATTGTAGCACATCTAAATAGGTAAGTTACATTTACGTGCATGGTTATTTTCGGGCAAACCTTCATCTTAGGTGAAATGAGCCTCCTATGGACTCATTTTGAAATTTTGTTGCATAATCTGATCTAGGGGCATTCTAGACCTTTCACATTAGTTTTAATTTCTTCTTTTGACGTGGTTGAATAGAAAATGTGATTTTAGGGGGGGGGTTTCTTCTTCGTCGTTTTCCAAAAAATGTCGTCTTGGTACCGGAAATCCCTCGTGAAATTTCTGCTTCCAGTTTGCATTTTAGCAGCTTTTTGGCCTTCATTACCAGATTTCATGGAGGGGCATTTTGGGCATTTTATAATGAGTTTTTTTTTTAATTCTCTCGCGAGTCATGTAGAAAACTTGATTTTAGAGGGGGTTTTTTCTTCGTGTTTTTCCAAAAAAACTCGTCTTGACCTCCGTTTCAAGCCTCAATTTTGGAAAACCTACATTGGACCCTTGCTGTCAGCATGGGCATGCCATTGGGTGCCGGGCGCGCATGGGGCATGGCATGACCTTCGTTGGGCCGCCGCGACATCAAAACTTCAAACACTCGTTTCTCCCTCGTCCGGACTCCAAATCGAGTAAAAAAATTTTAAACTTGATTAATTTTTCGTTGTCTTTCCAATGGTGTGCTCGGTTGCACCCGGATCTTGCTGGATAATTATCAGTTTACCCTTTTAGCCTTAAGCACTCGTTTTTCTTCGTCTTGCCGTTTCTCCTTCATCCGGACTCCGAATCATGCGATTCTTGAGTCCATTTTGATTAGTTTTTCATTATCCTTCCAGCGGTGTGCTTTGTGGCACCCGAGTCCATAGTTTTTAGAAATGACTATTTTGCCCCTGAGGGCTTATTTGTCATATTTTTGATCTTTTGCTTCCGCATCAGTTCTCATTGAGTTCCACGACCTCATGGAAGGTCACTTTGACTTCTTAGAGTCTTGTTTTCTATTTTCGCGTCTGCAATTCGGATCCGTTATCGGCTCAATCTTCGGTTCATCACAGGATGCACTGGCTTGAAAAACTAGGGCCGTCACATATTCCGGGCATTAACCCGCTAGGAATACCACCCTAGTGCACACTATAAATGGGGAGAACTAATACCTCCTGCACTAGAGCCAAACTCTAGCCATGTCACTTGTAACAATGTCCCAAGAGAATCCAAAATATATCAAGTTCAACACTTATATAGCATATTAAGGCATATATATCACCTTCCATGCATAAGTATTTTGAAACCACACAAGCCATGTCTTAGGGTTCCTAGTCTAGAATGGCATAATAAATGACAAGTTCTCATCATGATACAGTGTACAAAATAATATCACCAACTTATCAATTTAATTCGTGCCTCGACAATAACACAGAATTATCACCACCTTAAATATAACAATTCAAATCAATATGAATTTTATATAAGATTAATAATTCTACAAGAGTTCTATATTACTACCACATGTGAAAATACTAGAATTTAGCATACTACTAAATTATATAATCCTTGTATACAAGGTAAATACATATCATACATGCTTAAATCAACAAACCCTAAGTCAAAAAGTGAGGGCTTCCTATAATATGCAAGACTATCATATTAAAAGCATGTACACAATATATATTAAAGCCCAAAGGACTTAAAAAAATTGAAGTATAAATATACTACCACCCCTACCTCAATAAAGAATTGAATCTCTATAATCCAAGCTCAAAATGGAAAAACAATTCTAGGGTTTTGAAGAGGAGAGTGAAAGGAAACTTTTGTCTCCCAAGGTTAATGGTCTAAGGTGAGTGGAAGGAGGCCAAAATGAAGGAATAAGCTATTAACCAAGCTTTCCTCCAATGGTGGCTAGGTTAGGGTTTTGAAGAACAAGGGAAATGAGAAAGGTAATGTGAAAATGGTGAGTGGAAGGTCTAGAAATCCTCCACTCAGTATGTGTTCTTACACTACCTCTCTCACACACACAACGTAAGGCTAATTTGTGAGCCTACACTTGTCACAAATCCAAGGCTCCTTCATAGGCTTAATCTTAAGCTTACACTTGTCAACCATCTAAGTCAACAAGTGCACCAATCCTAGGCCAACATGTGGGTGAATCTCCACCCTCCAAATGTCACAAGATGATGCATCCAAGTCTTTCCACCACAATGCCAACAAGTGGCTCCATGAGAATGTGACACTTGTCATATTTTCCAAAAATTGCAAAAAGATCCTTTTCTAAAATATCTTCCAAATTAAATTACAAGATGGTCCCTAAGACGAAAAATAATTACTTTGAGTAATTACACTAAAACCCCAAAAATAAAAAATAATAACAAAAAGATATGCATCCATGCCCTTTACAAAAAGTAAGCAACAAGAATGTACTTTCTACGAAAGTAAAATATACAAATATCATGGAAACCAACTATTATGGATGCATGCAAAGCTAGAATCAAATTTGAGCACAAAAAGTGAGGTTACGTAAGGAAAAATGAAAAATGAGAAAAGGACGAAATAGGGAAAAGGATGAAAAAAAGAAATCACCGAAAAAAGAAAGGAAGGAAAATGACAGGGTCATTATAGATAGGCCATGCTTAGGGAAGATGGTTTATACCACAACCTAGTTTAGGTGGATGAACCATGCTAACCAAAGGTGGGTCATGCTTAGTCCTGAAATGTATGATCTTCTTGACGATGTTGTGGTAGTTCTATTCTTCTACACATCATTTTATATATATAATTGTCTATCCCCAAGTTGAGTGCAATTTACCATCTTTATGAGGTTGAGGTGAAGTCAATTCCCTAACCTACTCTCTATCAGTTCAATCCATTCTAATCGAACTATTATATCTATTATCAAATTAGGAAGTAATTTTACAATTCTCTTTGCCATAAACTAGCAATCCTTGTGGTTCGACAACCCCCTACTATAACATTAATCTGTAATGATGAATGTGTTATTGTTATAAGTGGTATTTTTAAGTGGTACACATTTGTGCGTATCATGAGCTTGGCATGTTCTATCATATATATTAAATAGAGAATATTTGAATAAGTTTTGAAAACTTTATTTGTTTAATTTCTTGGCATTAAGTTTAATTTACCTAGTTGTAACTAGTGTATAATTAGCTTGTAATCTGATTTTAAAGTGGGCCTTGATATGTTCACTAACATACCTTGAATTGAGAATATTTGAATGAGCCTTGAATACTTTATTTAATTATTTTCTTCTATGAAGTTTAATTCACGTAGTGATTCTTAGTGTAGGACTAACTTGTATCATGAAATTAAAATAGGCCTTGATATGACCTTTGACATAAATGATTTGTAAAACATTTGGAGCTGCTTTGTAATCTCGAGAAATTAATTACTTAAGTTAATTAATTTTCCTTTTATGCTTCCATTGAGGTATTTAGGCATTGAAGTGGTATTCTTGCTTAATTTGTAGTTTGGAACTTATGATATGATTACATGATAGTATTCTATGAGTTGAAGTTATGATTTAACTTATAAGTATTCACATTTTATTTATATAACATTTAATATGCCATTGTAGCTTGAATGCCTAAGACATGGCTTGTGTGTATTCCATGACTTGGTTGTGTGTGGTAATTGATTTTGGTGCATTGTGTATATGTGATATACTTGTTACACAACTTAATGATTTTTGGAAGCTTGTATAGACATTGGAAATTGGTACGGCTAGGGCATGGCTCTTGTACGGGGAATGAGAGTTCCCTCTATTTCATATAGTGCACACCGGGTGGTACCCTAAGGGCTAGTAATCCAAAATCACCAATATAATGGTTTTATTCCAGGTTTAGTTGTGCACTAGGTAGTACCTTACGGGCTAGTCACCCGGAACCACTTGCTTGGTCATTGAGACCTTATGTCCTTTGTCTTTCCACCAATTGCTGATTTCGCATTCAATTCCTAGTTCTAATATTGGATTGCTTTTAACTTGTGCTAGGATGCATGATACTTCATTTCTTGCATTGTATACTTGGATTTGTCTACTTGTATGCTATGTATGTTAACATTTCTTAGTATACTTAGAAATGTATAGTTGAATATATATATCGTTCTTTCAGTTCAAGATTGCTTAGCATACTTAGTATGTACCCTTGTATATTGATGTTTTACTTTCTAGATAACCTAGTATACTTGCATATTGTATATTTTTCTTAAGTGCATTTCAATTTTGATTGTATACTTACATATGTATACTTGTAAATTATTTGTCTTACCACATGCTTTTGTGTAGTTTAAATTGCATGAATGATGTGGTTTATGCTAAGAATACTCTAGGTAGCTTAGGATGCTCCCTAAGTCTCACCTTCAATATAGACGATAGGTGGCATGACCGTTTGAATGGATTTGTATCAACTTAGTAAGTTTGCAAAACGTTAGCTCTTTGCATGCACATCTCCTACGAGTAGCTTTATGTTACTCACACACGTAGTGGATGTGACAACCCAGATTTTTAAGAATTTAAATTTAATTTATTCTATGATTTTTAGTTGACAAAATTGATTATTTAGAGACTTACCCAATTGATATTTTAATTGATTTTGATTTTAGTTTTGTATGCTGAAGCTTCTGGACGAAATTGGTGGAAGGAGATTTAATGGGTATTGTTTTTGGAATATATATATATAATTCAAAATGGTGGCATGCAGCTTGCTGCCAACCATTTGAAAAGCAATGGGAAATGAAGAGATAAATGTAATGATGGAAAAGTGATGGTAAAGGAAAAGAGGCGGGTCCACTTAAATAATGTTAAGGTGTTGATTTGGTTTTTTATTGTGATTGTATGTATAGGATATATTTTTGGCCTCTGATAGAAAGATGGGAGCAGCCGACAATGAAGATAAATGAGTGAGAAATGGTGCGGGTCCCACTAATGTGTTTTTTCCCATAATCGCTTTTGATTTGATTTTTTTGCACTTGAGTATATATGTTATATATACATTGCATCTATTGGATGGAAAAAGGGTGCACAGCTGAGATTAGAGAGAAAGAAATATTGATTTTGTGAAGTATTTTGCGGGTCCCACCTAATAATGAATGTGGGTTAAGAGAAAAGATATTTCACTTGGTTTTGTTTTGTATATAAATATATATATATATATATATATATATATATATATTGCATAAGACATGTGAGCAGGTGGTGCCAAATTAGTGGAAAGCAAAAAGAAATGGAAATGTAATGGTTTTGGGTCCCACAAGGAATTATGTTGCCATACTTTCATGTGGATGTGGCTTTGCCTTGTGGTATAGATACATAGATATTATTTGTTTGAAGAAGATAGGGATAAGGAAAAGTTGTAATGATGTTGTCTAATAGAGGAGTATGGTGAACTGTGCTTGATATTTGTATTTTGTTTCAGTGCAAATTTGTCTATATATTGAGGTGTGGTTATTCACTAAGTAAGGATATAGAGAGTTTGAGAACAGAGAAGGAAATTGAGGAAAAACACAGTGAGCCGAGACATTGAAGGCCAGACTTGCAATTTTGATGCTCAAGTGTTGATTATTTCTATTTACTGCATAGGGTTCTTTATACCTTGAATTGCTTGGATGATTTTATCTCAAATTATTTTGTGACTGCTTTTTTGTTAAATTGCATATACATATTTTTGTTCAAAACTATATTTATATTTTGTGAACTAATTTTCCTGAAACCTCTTTGAGATTCTTGTTATGGTTTTTCCTACTAGTACTTCCCCCGTCTCACCCCTTTCCAGTTTCAGGTACCGTGGATTGCTAGTTGCGGGCTTAGGTGGAAGAGTTGGTGTTGAAGATTTAATTTATTTATTTAGAGATTTTGTTGTATTTATTTGAGGAATTGATTTTGTATCAATAAAATGATATTTCTTTTAAGATCCTGAGTGTAATACTAAAGTATTTTGATTTGAATATATTGAGGAATTTATTTAGAAAATTCAGGGCAGTACAAATTGGTATCAGAGACTGTACCCAGTCGGAAGTATGAGTTTAGTGATGATGTTGTCGGGTGTGTGTCGGCGAGTGTTTAGTACTGACTAGCTATCACTCGTAGCCAGTTGTTTGTTGGCAGATGTCGTTCACTACCAGCAACTTGGAGGATTAATTTTTGTGATTGGGTATGTGTCCCAAATTCACTACTTGTTTTTTTTTTTTTTTTTGTGGGCGGGTGACGGCATTGACTTTCTACCACAACGGTTACAGAGTTTGTGGACGGATAATTAGCACTGTTAGCTACCACAACATTTTTCATGTCACTGAATCTCGCATCACCTGGGGTAAGGATTTCTTTCATGTTTTGCCACTTCTTTGATGTTTTCTGGTATGCGAAAATTGTTGGATCTGAATTTCGGGACGAAATTCTTTTTAAATGGTGGAGAATGTGACAAGCCAGATTTTTAAGAATTTAAATTTAATTTATTATATGATTTTTAGTTGACAAAATTGATTATTTAGAGACTTACCCAATTGATATTTTAATTGATTTTGATTTTAGTTTTGTATGCTGAAGCTTCTGGATGAAATTGGTGAAAGGAGATTTAATGGCTATTGTTTTTGGAATTGCTGCATATATATATATATATAATTCAAAATGGTGGCATGAAGCTTGCTGCCAACCATCCGAAAATCAATCGGAAATGAATAGATAAATGTAATGATGGAAAAGTGATGGTAAAGGTAAAGTGGCGGGTCCACTTAAATAATGTTAAGGTGTTAATTTGGTTTTTTATTGTGATTGTATATATATGATATATTTTTGGCTTCTGATAAAAGGATGGGAGTAGCCAACAATAAAAAGAAATGAGTGAGAAATGGTACGGATCCTACTAATGTGGTTTTTGCCATAATCTTTTTTTATTTGATTTTTTTGCACTTGAGTATATACATGTTATACATACATTGCATCTGTTGGATGGAAAAAGGGTGCACAGCTGAGATTAGAGAGAAAGAAAGATTGATTTTGTGAAGTATTTTGCAGGTCCCACCTAATGATGAAAGTGGGTTAAGAAAAAAGATATTTCACTTGGTTTTGTTTTGTATATAAATATATATATATATATATATATTGCATAAGAAATGTGAGCAGGTGGTGCCGAATTAGTGGGAAGCAAAAAGAAATGGAAATGTAATGGTTTTGGGTCCCACAAGGAATTATGTTGCCATACTTTCACGTGGCTGTGGCTTTGCTTTATGGTATAGATACATAGATATTATTTGTTTGAAGAAGATAGGGATAAGGAAAAGCTGTAATGATGTTGTCTGATAGAGGAGTATGGTGAACTTTGCTTGATATTTGTATTTTGTTTCGGTGCAAATTTGTCTATATATTAAGGTGTGGTTGTTCACTAAGTAAGGATACCGAGAGTTTGAGAACAGAGAAGGAAATTAAGGAAAAGCACAGTGAACCGAGACAGTGAAGGCCAGAATTTCGATTTTGATGCTCAAGTGTTGATTATTTCTATTTACTGTGTAGGGTTCTTTATACCTTGAATTGCCTGGATGATTTTATCTCAAATATTTTGTGACTGCTTTTTGTTAAATTGCAAATACATATTTTTGTTCAAAAGTATATTTATATTTTGTGAACTAATTTTCATGAAACCTCTTTGAGATTCTTGTTATGGTTTTTCCTACTCAAACTTCCCCCGTCTCACCCCTTCCAGTTTCAGGTACTGTGAATTGCTAGTTGCGGGCTTAGGTGGAAGAGTTGGTGTTGAGGATTTCATTTATTTATTTAGAGATTTTGTTGTATTTATTCGAGGAATTGATTTTCTATCAATAAAATGTTATTTCTTTTGAGATCCTGGGTGTAATACTTAAGTATTTTGATTTGAATAAATTGAGGAATTTATTTAGAAAATTCTGGGGCATTATAGTGGGGACATTTTTCAGGTACAGGAATCAAGGTCAGAGATTCTCATTATGCTTGGATGATTTGTAGACTTGAAAGTTGTAATTCTTGTAAAGGTTGGCTTGAAATGACACTTGAGCCTTATATGTCAAAATGTGTATATTTGATTCTAAACATGTAATGTGTGCATAAGTACACTCTTTATGATGTATTTGACGTGTATGAGATGGGACCATAGGCCAATGACACCTAATTTGTATTCTATGCATTTTCACTTTCAAGGTTTATTATGAAAAAAATAGAAAAATGACAAGTCATTGCCTCAACATATGTGCATCGGATATGGGAATTCCATTTTTATTCTCCTATAGGGTCTCATTAATCATGCATGAAGTGTGGCCATGGGCCAAATGGTAATTTGAAACTATTTTATAATTTTAAGTTTCAAAATTCCCTTTTCATGTGCATTTTCGCCTTTTTTCATCGTCGGGGGGTCTGATTTTGCATCGGGTCTTCTCGGGACCCATGGACCATTCGCACGCACTTGAAATCATTTATTACGCTTGCGTGCATATTTGTTTTAGCCTAGAAATGCATTTAGGGTCAAATGTATACTTAGTGCAAAGTTGAATTTTTTTTAGTTTTTGCCCTTTTATGATCTAGGGGCATTTTGGGTATTCCACAGTGTGTTTTTTTCGTTTTCTTTTGTGAAACTGGGTAGAAAACATGATTTTAGGGGTCTTCTTTGTGTTTTTTCAAAAAAATCGTTTTGATGCCGAAAAAAACTCGTAGATCTGGAAAATCTGGTGTGCGAACTTTTTTCAGGTTTTGCTAAAAAAAGTTATGATTTAAGGGGCATTTTGGGTATTTCACTGGAAAAATAAAAACATCTCTTGACATGGTCATGTAGAAAACATGATTTTGGAAGGGGGGGGGGGGTTTCTTCACAACTTTTCTTCAAAAAATGTCGTTTAGGCCCTCAAAACCCCATTTGAATTCCAAAAATCTGTGCAGGCCCTGCATATACTTGAAACCTGGAAAATCTAATTTTATGAAACTTGAGGCTTCAAATCTTCTTCGTCCGGACTCCGAATCAAGTGATTTTTGAGTTAAGTTTATTAATTTTTTTCTTCTATATCCAATGGTATGCACAGTTGCATCCAATTCTATCTAAAAGAACCATTTTACCCCTTGTCAAGTACCCTTGCTGCATTGATTTGAAACCCAAAAATCTAATTTTATGAGACTTTGGGGCTTCATATCTTCTTCGTTCTGACTCCGAATCAAGTGATTCTTGAGTCTAGATTTATTAATTTTTCCTTGTTTATCCAATGGTATGTACAGTTGCATCTAGTTCTTTTTGAAAGTACCATTTTACCCCATATCAAGTGCCCTTGCCGCACTGAGTTGAAACCCAAAAGTTTATTTTTATGAAAATTTGGAGTTTCATATCTTCTTTATCCAGACTCCGCATCAAGTGATTCTTTAGTCTAGATTTATTAATTTTTCCTTGTCTATCTAATAGTAAGCTCAGTTGCATCCAGTTTTGTTTGAAAAGATCATTTTACCCCTGGTTAAGTACCCTTCCCTTTTTATAATCTTAGCTTTCGCATTTGATTCTTTTGAGTTCCGTAACTTCATGGAAGGTCATTTTGGTGTCCTAGGGATGTTGTATATCCCTAGATACTTGCTTTATATTTTTGCTTCTACATTTCAGATCCATTATTGGGTCAAACTATGGTTCATCACAGGACGCACTGGCTTGAAAAACTAGGGCGGTCACAGGTGGTATCAGAATCCCTAGGTTCGAATACGTTGGACGATGGGTTTTGGGTGCATATCATGCTTGTATTTCCATGTTCTATGCGTTTAATTACTTCTTCATAACATGTTTTGAATTGATAACTTGTCTGTTTGCTTATGTGGTAACTTGTTTAGAAGCTTACCTTAACCATTTTAGCATATGATTTATACTTGTCTATCTTAGTATATGATATATGCTTGTTTATCATAGCAAGTTATATGTGCTTGTTTGCCTTAGCATACTGTATATGCTTGTAGGTTTTAGTACATTGTCCATGCTTGTCTAAGTTATCATGTTATTTACGCTTGTTTGCTTAGCATGTTGTATATGCTTATCTACTTTAGCGTGTCATATGTGCTTGTTCATCTTAGCATGATTATATGTAATATACTATCATGCTTTGTGTTATCTTCTGTATACACTAACATGCATTATGTGATTTTTACTATTTATGTGAGTAGGTTGTCCGTTGCTATGTTGTATACCAGCTGTTTACTTTTTATGTCTTGTTTTGAAATTACACGTTGTCCCAGCTTGGTTGGCAGAGATTGATGCCAGGGTATTATCTCTTGGGGTTTATCATATCCCTTGGATATATTCTTGTTTTGCGGAGTTTCTTCCTTGGATAGGAGAAATTTATTTTGTAAGGAACCCACGACGGGAACATTGTCCTTCTTGTCGGTTTGGTAGTTTCGAGACCGCAGTCTTTGTCTAGTGGAATGAGATGAGGGCCAGGGAGGCACCGTTTCATTTCCTTTTTCCTTCGTGGCTTCACGACGTGGTCGAGGAGTGTCCGGGGTGTTGGTTTTGTCTCTTAGGGTTTCGTGGTGACCTCGATATGATGACATCATTGGGGTCTTATTTCTAGTGTCATGGGACGATGAGTTAGGGTTGACTCCAGTCATTCCTTGGGGACTTTGGAGGTTTGTCTTCATGAACCTCACTGCGAGGTTCTCGCGTTTTGCCTTCTTAGGGCGATGGTTTTGGGATTTTGATAGGTGTGTTAACCTAGGGTCCTTCCTGTGTTGCCTCGGATAGCTCTTACAAGCTACTGTTGAATATGAGCGTTTCGTGTAATTAATTGCACTTGTCATTTTAGGGTACCGATAGAATCCTATCCAGTTCTCATCGAACTCGTTGGCATCTTGAGTTGAGTTCTCTGTTGTTGTCTCATAATGGCTAGTGTTTAAACTATCTATTGTGTCGTTATATTGTCTTATATGGCGTTGGGATTCCATCTTGGGTTTGAGCTAGTCTTGGGGAAGACTTGTGGACTTTTTGTTTTGGGAACCTTAGTGTTCATTCTGGGGGATGGTTCTTTTCCTTGTAATGAGAAATTAGATTCATCCAGGTTTAGTTATACATTTTTTGCGTGGTGTCTTTTGAGGGGCATTCCATTCATTTCTTTTGATTTTATAAAATTGTCATTTGTATAATTCCTTTTACATGTTTATGAGCCTATTGTTTTAGGGTATGCCTTATAAACATGTTCAGGATATATGACTATGTGATAGTTGTACGTGCACGTAGATGGTTTATTTTCATTTACGGTATTTGTTTAGCATGCTAGTACCGTTAATGGTGTATAGTGTGTTGTCATTTATTTGACCCCTCTGTGATAGGTGGCATGTTTCATTTACCTTATGTGTACTGTGTGCTTAGTACTAAGGTATTATTTAATTTAAGAAATTTAATTTTGCGAGTATGTACTATGTGAGTAGCTGGTTGTACTGTTTCATTTTCCTGCACTTATATTTGGGTTTTGTGACCTTAGTTGTCAGGGATGTCATGAGTGAGCTACGTGGTAGACTTCTGTTTTGATGATTTAGTTATCCGTGATAGGAATTTTGATTCAGCATTTTGTTTCCGTTTGTGACCTTAGGATAGTTCTGCTTCTGGATGGTGTCTTTCAGTTCCGTGGAGTCCGATCCATTGGCCTGATGGCATAGACTTGTCAGGCTTTGGATTTGTGACCGGAGGTTGTTGATAAGGGGGTGTTTTGTAATGTAGGAGCTACTGGCTCTACTTGCACTGAGGATTTAAGGCCTTAAGCGTAACCGTGCCTATGATATTATTGTCAGAGTTTTGGGATTAGCTACCCCAACTATCACAAGATGCCTGGTTCCCGTAGCACTTTTAGTAATGATCTTTTTCGACATTGATGTCATTCGTATCGATAAATTTTTTCGGGTTGACCTGGTCGGGGCAAGTTATGAACTAGTGCCTTATACTGTCATGCTACCGTACAAAGTTGTGTATTATGGAAAAGTGCTTGTTGCCGTCAATGCTACTTTATTAACGAGCAAGTGTTGGCAGCTACTAGGCACTGTTAATTACTACCACACATTTGAGTACGTCATGGTCGGGTTCTGGTTGCTGTTCGTACTGCCATGTCATTCTTAGCCTTTTGTCATGTTTTGACGTTTTGTTGTCTTGGGATTCTCTTGGTGGTTGATATTGAGTTGACATACTGATTCGTTTGAGGAGTTGTCTTTCGGTTCGCGATTTCGCGGTCCTTCAGTTGGATCTTGAGGCTTCTGGAGTTGTCCTTTAGTTCTTTAAGATCTTTTCCTCGATGTGACCTTGTGTTCAGTCCTTGTTCGGTTTTTCTCGGGATGTTCCTAATTTTGGAGACGAAATTTCCTTAAGGAAGGTAGGTTGTAATGACTCCGTCATTTTCCTTTCTTTTCTTTTTCTGAAATTTTATGGATAAATTTTTTTTGTTGACTTTTCTTTTTTGAGTTCAGTTACTCATCACTTAGTGTCGTCTTGAGTGTTCAGAAATGGTTTCCGAAACTCTTTCCTTTGGATTGATAACCTCTTTTAAGGACTGAGTCATTTCCATATTTTCATTTTTTTGATACTATTCACTTTTCGTCCTTTTTCCCATTTGTCACTTTGTTGGCACAACCTCACTTTCTGTGTTCGGAGTTGAGTTTTGACTTCACGAGTTTTCACTCCAGTTGATTTTCTCAAAATGCGTAGCTTTACTTTTGGAGAAAAGCTCGCCGGTTGTTTTTTTCTCCTGTAGGCGCGTGGATGAAAGGATTCTTCAGAAACATTGATGTTTCGTAGGCTATTTTTCATAAATATCTTTTAGAGATATTTTGATTAGGGGTTTTAAAGAAAATATCTTTTGGAAGA